ATTGCATGAATCATCATCTTAATAAGAGTTTATCTTCAAATAATGATCAATAATATCAAGCTAAAATCATTAATTTCACCCAGTAACTAATATTTGAGCCAAAACCTCAAGAAACCCATTTTTAAGAGTCTACAACCAACATGCATGATAAATCCCATCAAAAATCTGAATCTCAAGTAGGATTTCAACATTTTAATCTCTGAAATCTTAGTTTCTAACATAAGAAAGAAGTTACCTCAAAGAAAAACATGTTTCCAAGTGAATAGAAGCTCAAATTCTTGGTGGTTATTTTTTGTTCTAGGTTGAAAACGAGTTGAAATGGGCTGGTTGAGTTTTAGCTCATTCTCTCTTGAAAACCTAGGTTTGCTTCTGAGTTTTGGGTGAGAAAAGGAGTGAGAAGAGAGAAGAAAATGTTAGGGTCGGAGTTCTAGGCTTTTTTTGCTGAAATGGACCAAAAAATGAAGTGTAAACATAATAGAGACCAAGTAAAAATAAATTGACCTTATAGTAGGACAAGTGTCTAAGTTTTTCTAAGCCTCTAACATTGTCCTAACCTCATAAAATCAGCTCTAAAGCCTTTATTTTTCTTCTTTAATTAGGTGCCTAAAGTTCACTCAATTTGCTAACATAACCTTCTCTCACAAAAAACTCAAAATAGCAACTAAGTCCTCAACATATTTACATAAAACCATATAATAAAAATATAAAATAATTATTCATCATTAAAGCAATCATAATAGAGGTAAAATATCATATCAAATAATCATAATAAATATAATTCTTTTTCTTCATAAGTTTAGCACATTGAGTTCCCACATCGAGCTAGTTGCACTGCACATTAAAACTGAAAACTTGATTAGCAAAGCTATAAGTTTAATAAAATCATACGATAGCTATAATAATAAAATATAATGTCAACAAATAACTTTAGAATAAATAGTAAATGTGGTGCATGATTTTAATTTACTAAATTTATTTATTATTGACTTACGGCTTAATTAAATCTCGAGTATTACATCATATATATATATACATGATTTTACTTTAACTTACTGCAGAAGATTTAAGTGTGAGTGGTATCCATTCCCATCTCCACCATTCGTCTGTCGCTCGCCAATGCCCTTCAAGAATTGCTGACAGGTTTCTCACCTACAACATGAACATATCTGATTGAGCTTTCGCTCAGCAAGTAGGAATTATCTCTCGCAAAATAATTGTATACACATGAATAAATATGCATGACCTGATTATGCTTAATTATGATGTCTTATCATAGTCTTATTATCTTATCTGATCTTTTCTTTCTTTCTTGTGGGCCCGAGTGCTCGCATACCACTTACGCGCAATCATTGGGACGTGACAGTTTGCAAGGTCCCCACGACACCGTGATTATAACTTAAATGCATCCCTTGAGTTGGAGGACATTATTATTTTTTTTTTCTTTTCTCCATTGAGTCAGAGCTTGAGTTACCTCCCTTGAGTCGGAGGCTAGTATGTCACTCAACTTAGATTATTCTTATAAGTTCTTCTTGACTTATTAAGGTGTATGCAATATGACATAGCATAGCCTACTATAACATGAAATGTACTCAAACACATATAATTCATGTGCACTGCTTAAGTGTATGCAGCATGACATAGCATCGCATATAATACTTAAAGCATAAACATGCATATATAACATGTGTAACTTTTTCTTTAAAATCTATTCATACTGTAGGCGAGATTCCTACTTACCTGATTTACAGAGCTGGAATCCACTCTTCGCCAAACAGCCTATTCTCTTACTTGGTTACTTCTGAAAATGAACACCCATTGAGAGTGTGAGATTATCCTTCGTTTGCTATTCTATTTTAACAACTTATGAAGGAAATCTAGCCCTTTACTTGAGGCATGTATTCCTTTCATTTACTGAAGGATAATTTACTATAATGATCAATTTATTAAATCCTCAAAATCTTATTTTCCTTAATTGCCCTTAACGTACTTATGTCTAAATTGAAAATCATTTACCCAATCTAGTAACTTATTCTTCATAATTTTCCTCATTGGGCTTATTATGATATTAAGGCTCAATTCGGCCTAGAACTTATACATGACATTCTAACACTTAGCCCGCTGAAATTTATACTCTAACAGAGTCTCTTAAATTAATGCGGGCATTGGACCCACATCAAACCTTCAAAATTCTAAGGACCTATCGTATTGGCTCGTAGATGCCCGTCGGGATGGTTTGCTCAATAAACCACCAAGTTCTTTAAAAGAAAGCATTTTTTTCTTGGAAACTTTCTTTATGAATACTTTTGTTAAAATGAGGTTTAACACCATAGTATTTTACTGAGATCACATCTCGGGTTCTTTGATAACTTTTTGTTAAAACCAACTCTATGTTAGTTTTGTTTCGTTAAAACTGTGTAGTTTCTGAATTCTGCATTTTACTGCATCTTAGGATCGGATTTCAAAATTTTTTTCTTCGTGACAATTCTTCGTCTTGTTGAGATCTAAAATTCTCATTTTTGAAGAAAGTTGAAATTCATCATCTAAAGGCCTCGTTTGGTTAAAAACAATGGCTGCTGTTTTTTTTCTTTTGCTGTGGGAATGCTACAACAATCTTTTAAAATGTTGTAGGATTGCTGTAGCAATCTTTTAAAAAGGCTATCGGATTGCAGTAATAATCTTTTAATAATGCTGGAGTAATCTTTTTAAAATGCTGCAAGATTGCTGCAGCAATTCTTCTTTTAAAATGCCGTAGGATTGCTACAGCAATCCCCTTTTTTTTCTTTTCCGAAACTGTGTTGGACAGCCTGTCCATTTTCGTAAACTGGCTTCAAACTTACTTTTAGAGTTAAAATTGGGTTTTGTCATAGTCATAGAAAATGTTCAAAACATCGAGTTCTATAAGTTCAAGCTTTGAAACATCAAAAAACCTCGCTCTAGGGTCCTCGTTTTTTCGTTCAAAGTAACCGAAAAGTTTTTCCTTCAACCCAAACTAAGCAACTTAAATCAAACATAAGCATACCACATCAACTAACCTCAAGGCACATAAAACCAACATAAAACTCACACACCCTTATTATAACTTATCTTCCTTAAAAACCACAAATTTACATCCATAAATTCAAGCTTAAAGTTGGTTAGAAGTTAATGGAGAAGAGTTCAAGAACTTACTCTTGAGGAACTCTCTCTCTCTCTCTTGAAATACCTTTGAACTCTTCTAAGATTTGTTAATGGTTTGAAACTAGAAAGTATAAGGAAATTTGAGAGGAATATCTCTACATTTCAAACTTTACTAAAACATGAAAAAGAGAGGATTTAGAGTTTTTTTTACCCTTGGAGGAATGCTTGACTAGTCTCCTCCTAGAATCCCTTGATCTCCTCCTTCTTCTTCTATGGTTTGCTAGTGGCTCAAGATTGGGAGAGTGGAAGAAAATATTTGAGAGGGAGAGAAGGGGTGTGGCCGGATATGGAGGTGGAGAGAAAAGCAAGGAGGAAAAAAATGAGACCTATCATGTGTTGGTTCCTTTTATAACCAACTTTGTGATCATCATTTAACTCCAATTCCACTCCTTTATTCAACCAAATTTTTGGTTCAAATCCCCCAATTTTGGCCAGTTGTGTATGGAGAAAAGAAGAAGCAATTTTGCCATGATTTTCCCTTCAACAACTACTATCCCATCACCTTACCATGTCATCCACTTGCACACTCAACTAGCTAAGTTTTTGGCTCTAATTTGCTATTCATGGCCGGCCAAAGTGGAGAAGGAGAGAGAAAAATAAATCTGAGTACTTTTGTCTACTCTCTTAAGTTTCCTTTGAGTCAGATAAAAATCATACTGACAGTAAGGAAGTACTTAGCCGACATGAATTCTAGTTTCTGACGGTTCCTTTCCTACTGCTTATTTACAGTTCAATGTTAAATCCTCGACTACTTTGAGATCACATTAAATTCTTACTCGCGTAATATCTTGAACTGTTTAAAGTCTTGAAATTAATTCTAGACTGAACAAATTCTAAATTTAACTTTTCTGCATTCTATCCCGGGAATGACGTTGTTTCTGACAATGTCAACTCCCGAGCTCACATTGTACCCTTCTATTATGGGTATTTATCTTGTGACTTTAACCTAGCTGTCTGGCAATTAAGGATTTTCTCTTCTTTAAAATGTCAGTGCGTTTTTTTGTACGCTGCTAACATCATGCTGTGTTTGGAGATTCTTAAAATTAAGGTTCTCAAACTATACTTATACTGAAAATTATTCCGCCTTAAAGTACGGTGAGAATTTATTGATCGAATTTACTTGATCGAAAACATGAACTTAGCATGAAATCTGCTACAGAATTTAGGAATACAGATATTAATTTCATAAATCCTTCAGTCACATAATATTTTCTAGGAAAATCGTTTGCTTAAATACGTAAATTGTATTATTTAAGGTCTGAGATTTTCTCAGTCATTACAGAGTCTTTCATTCTTTGAATGTTGAAACTGACCATCCAACCCACCCCGCATCGGCCCAACTCAACCCAAACATCATTGGGTTGTGAAATTTTTCTAACATCGTTGGGGCCAAATATGTGCAACCTGCACCTTTTGGGGCAGGGGAAGAAAAAGTCATACCCTGCACCAACCCAACCCATGAACAACCCTAATTCTATGTTCAACTAAAATAAGGAGTAAGTTGGAGTAGTACACCCAAAAGTTACTAATTAAAATTACTTCTTAGTTATTTTAGCTAAATTTTAGCTACTTTTAACTTTTTAGTTATTTTTACTAAAATTTACCTAAAATTTAGATAGTTACTTAGAGATGCTTAAAAAAGGTGATTTATTTATTTATTTATTGAGGAATACACTTTGTTTATTAAAAAGACAGCTTAATATACCTTCTACATAACTAAAATGGATGGAACGAAAGATTAAGGAAAAAAATTGATGAAAACGTATTCAAGTGGATCTTCAAGAAATCCACGCCTCCTGCCTTAGGTCTATTCTTCTGTTGTGAAAGACTTTTTGATTTCCCACTTAAAAACTGAACAGGTGAAAATGTAAGCCAAGACTAAGGAAATAACAGATAATGGCATACACAAAACATAAATATCTCTTGTAGAAGTCTGAAGGCAAATATTCATATTACAGATAAACTTATAACTAGCAAGCAGTTCAAGAAACAATTATTTACTTCTTTGACGTCCCCCTTTGCCCTTTTTGTTTTTCTTTGGCTTGTTATTTCCTTTTCCCTTGCTCTGAGAACTTTGAGCAGCACCAACTTCTTGACCATTTTTGTTGTCCTTGGACTCGGAGTTCCTGTTGTCCTCTTCCTTGTTTTCAATATTTTGACTGCTCTTTTGTGTTTGAGGAGCACCAGTAGCTTGGAAAACCTTTGACGACTCGCCCTTGTCAACGGATTTGACAGCGGAAGCTCCACTTGGAACCTTTTGAGACTCAACATTTTCCGGAAATAGTGTTCTTAAGATGTCATTCTTGCAATAATCTCCCTTCATGTTTAGACATATTGCATCCGGACACGAGCTGAATGAACAATACCCCCCCAAGCTCACAATAACCAAAGGGTTACCGATACTCTTAAGAGCTTCAGCGATCAACTTCACATTTAAATCTGGAGGCCGGTTTTTCCTTATTTTCTGCAGGGCAACAGAAAGCTCCCATGGTAGTTGCTCCATTATGTAGTCTTTTTTCAACGAACCGAGAAGCGAATCTATACACGGACCAAAATTGGCATAAAGTAGACATGTTACGACAACCAATCTCAACACAAGTACAGAGTAGTACCCAGTCACCCTTGTGGTAGATTTTCTTATCCAGTCAATCATATCCCGCTTGTTGTGAAGGCATTGGTGAACTACACTGCTCATGAACTCGAGTGTAGACGCTTGCGAATCAGCTCCTGACGAGGGAATAGACTTGGTGCTGCTAGTATGTTCCTCATGGAACATTAGCCATTCAACAAACAAGGACTTGGTGGCCACAAAGGAACCAGCAAAAACAGATGACCAAATCAATAGGCGCTCAACAAGATACAAGAAACAGCCGGGAGAAATGTAGTCATGTGCCATCCTCCAATTGACATTGAACACTTCTGATAAAGCTTCTCGAAAGCTCCAAGCAAGATGTGCCTCGCTTGTTATTTCACTTGCAACTCTAGGTTCAGAGGCGTGTGTCGAATCGCCTTGATAGTTTGATCCTCTCAACCGGTATAGATTCTCAAAGAATGCCTTCCATGGTGAATTTCCGTCCAACACTTTCGAAATCTGCTCATGTAGTTCATTATTGATTTCTCCTGATCCGAGAATAATCATTGCAATACTGCCAATTTCCCCATAAGATAACGTATTTTTAGGCTTCTTGACATGTTCAGCCGCGACTTGTTTCAGCAAATTCTTACAAGCGTCTGTTCTTCGGAGGAAAATCATGTTCCCTCTCAATGATTTCTGAAAACACATGGGGAATATGTAACCAACAATACTGTCAGTTGCCATTCTGATATATTTTAACAGGTTTTCAGAATCATGATGTCTCAGCTTCAGAAATGTCGACTCCAAAATAAATTTTGCAACCTCATGGATGAGGGTAAGAATCCTGCTTCTGCAGAATAGTAAATCTGTGATCTGAGGGCAGGAATAGAGAGCTGTGAGCTTTTCTAGTACCATAAATCCGACAGAGAGCACCTCCGAACACCAATACCTCCGAGCAGCAGAAACCAACTGGTGAACATCAAGAGAAACCAGTTTTCCACTACTTGGTCTTTTCTCCACATCTCTAGCCCAATCAGCCTCAGAACTGAGCAAAAGATATATCGGATTCGCATTAGTAAACTGCCTCCAAACACCCAAAAAGTTGAGACAGAATTCTCCATAATTTCTAAATTCACTGGCATCTTGGGTCTCAAGACATCCCAGATATTCAAAAATGCTAATGATCTTGTCCTTCCAAAAATTCCAAAAGTAGACTAGTGATTCTGCCGAGACCAGGGTGTTGGAAATCACATCTTCAGAATGCTTGCTAAGATCAAACACCAATTCCTTTTCGAAGAAATACTTGTCGGCTTTCGAAGAAAGGTGAACGTCCAGAATTTTTCTAGCAGATAGAATCTCACCTCTAACACTCTTATGTCTCCGAGAAGCGATCATTTGGTTCATCATGGTCACCAGGTCACTGTGTTCATTTTCCATGATATCAGCCTCTGTGCAAACAAACTCAGAGAAGGTGTCTGTATCATTCACGGCAAATGATTTCGCTTTCGTTAAGAGCTCGCACTTCAGTTTAGAATGCTTTAAGGGCCAGCCCCTGCTACCTGCTGACCAGAGGGAGTTCCCAAGCACATGAAACAGAATAAGATTAGCTCCTTCTTTGAACTTCCCAGCTTTACCAAGCAGATCCGCCATGAGCAGTATATCACCTTTTAGCTTAGCAATGTCTGCAGCTTCCACAAAATTCCCTGCTTCTTCTTCCAATAACATGAGTTCATCGAAGCAACCCAATGGTCTCAGGAAGTTCCGTATTGAATTCATGGAATTAAAAGCTCTAACAAATTTCATCATAGATCTATAATCTTTGATCTCATGGTAATGCAACGCACAGTTCTCCAAGAACACCTGCTCAATTTTCTCTATTTCGTCGCTTCTCTTTGCAACGCCATCCTCCTTTGTTGACTGTTGTTTCCAATATTGAATGTATTCCAAACCCATGTCAAATAATTTTCCTGTGGCACAAGCAGTCAGACATTCCGAGAAATAATTGCCCCTGGCATAAACCTCAGCCGCAAGCTCATGGCACCCTGCCAAAGAAAAGCATTCGCCAGCTCTTACCAGCTCAGATTCTCCGAACTTTTCCAAATAAATGCGACCTGCATACATATAAAAGCATAGTGACTTGGTGGAAATAAAAATTAAATCTCAGAAAATAGAAAAGTTGAAATAAGGCAGATTAAAACTTATTTAAAAAATTCTAGACATGATTAAAAAAAAAAAAATAGAAACTCCAGTCGCAACAAAACCATGCCGCGAGACTCAAAACTATACGCAGGGTTACTGTGCACATTGTTGTTACATGACATTGTGAACATTGCAACAGAGCTATGGTGAATCTTTAATCTGTAATCTTTAATTTTTATTTTTAATCTCTAACATACATAAATGAGCAAAGCTTCTCTCTCCCCTCCTTCACATGCATCCACGTGTTGTTCATCATTTTTCTTTCTTTCCTTCATTGTTTTTTCCTTTGCTTTGCTCTGAGCTTTTCACTCTTTCTAGTTAATTTTGTAGAAAATGGTTTGGGGCCTACATACTTCTGTATTCTTTTAAAACGTTTCTTGCACTTTTTATATTATTAATTATCATATAGATTGCAAGGATGATGGGTCCACTTAATTTAATGAGTAAAACTGTATTAAATTTCTTTAAAAGAACTGTGATGACTTCACTAATATAATCTAACTATATAGAAGTGCGAATCTCACCTCTTGGATTTCGATCAAAATGTGACGTTTTTATAAATATGGTCGTTTTTATTTTATAATACTTAAAAAAAAACTGGAAATTGTAGTAAATAGTAGATTTTTTAGTACTAAATTAAGTAAATAACATATTTTAAAATTAGTTGGAGTAAATAGCAGTTCATTGTGTAAATGGTTCATTTACGACTGGCAAAAAATAATTTGTGGTAAAAAAATCTTTATTTACGTGGAAATTTTTTTTTTTTTTGTCCTAAAAGAAAATTTACATGAAAAAAATCTTTTTACTAGTTGTAAATGAAATATTTACGCTGTAAACTGCTATTTACTTCAAATAGTATTAAAATCTAATATTTACTTAATTTTGTTATTTACTATATTCTCCCTTTATAATAATACAAAAAGCTGACGCATATAATTCTAAGATTTTTTAATATCGTTTTAATTATTTCCATTCATTATCTAAAACTTTAAATGTAACTTTAATATTTTCACAATTTTTTCATATTACTCTCGAAGTTTCTGCTCAATTTTGATTACTTCAAATTACTATTTTATAATTAACAAATTCTCCTATTTTTAAATTTATTTTTTCTCAAATTATCTTTTATACTTGACATTAATCTTAATCTTATCTTTATGGCTACCTCTCTATCTCTACACACATATAAAAGAGTCACAGGAGACTTGGTGTTTCATCTTCAATGGAAGAAAATTTTCTTTTTCTTTCTTTTTTTTTTGGTCTTGTCTTGTGTTGAGGTTTTTTTTTTCTCCCCACCTTTTTTGGTCTTCTTGCTTATCTTTGTTTGTTTGTTTTTTTTTTTTTTTTGTTTAAATATTCTCTCTTTTATTTTAATCAAAATATTTTTTCCTCTCTAATATATAATAGTCAATTTGATATACGGCCACATTTAAGTATTCGTTTCCTTATTTTTCCTAATATGTTATATTATCTATAAGTAACTTTTTTTTTCTTTCTAATTGACCTACTGAAATAATTTTTCTTATATATGCCCTTATCCTTCTCATTGTAGCCGTAATTAATTTTTTTATATGGTTTGAATTTCATCTTTTTTTTTGTTCTTCCCTCTGTTTTTATACTGTCTATATTTCCTTTTTTCGTTTTTTTTTTTTCTTAATAATCTTACATTTTAATACGTCTTTTCCTAAAGCACTTTTCTTTTAATTTAGCCCTATTAAAATGATTTTTCTCAAATACGTCCCAACTTAAATATTCTTTTACAATCGTCTAAAAAATTGTTTGGTCAAAAAAGACCTTTATAAATACCCCACTGAAATAATTTTCCCAAATATGGCTTTACTTAAACATTCTCCTTTTAAGAGGTACACGTTAATTAGTTTTCTTTTTAATTTGTTCATTTCAAAATATTTATCTAAAGCGTGAATGCGTACTCTCAATTTCATCCATACCATTTCGACTTGATCTCAATTTCATATATTTTAATATATGCTGATTAATATACATTTCTGCCTGATTAATTCAAAAAGATAGGGTACCTTCGAGATGTTTTGGAATAACATAGGGAACCAAATGATTTTATTACTAACTTGAATATGTTTTCCTACAATACTGTAAAATATACTATTGTCAAATGTAACCCTTGATATACACTTTTTTTTTCCTCCACATGAATAATTTGCTTAAAGATGCCCCTACTTAAACATCTTTATCTTTATCTTTCTCTTTCTCATATGTAGACCCTATTTAGTTTTATGTTTTATTTGTCCTAATCAAAATATAATATTCTTAACTACGCTCCATTTATCTGTGTGTATAATATTCGACCGAAACATACGTTTTGATTGAACAGTGCATTATGGTACGTCTAGTTTTTACCTTTTTTTTTTTTTTCTTTTTTTTTTTTTTTTTTTTTTTTTTTTTTTTTTTTGAAATCTTATATTGTTATATTGTTAGTTTTTACATTTTTTTACTTAAACGTCTATTTATTGCAAGCCTCTCAAATATTATTTCTCAAATGTACCCCTTATTTTCTATCTATTTTTTGAACCTATGCCTATATAGAAGAGTCAGTCTATTTTATTGCCAATGATTAAAACCAAAATGAGTTGGGATTAAGGCTTCTTGTTGTTGTTTGTTTTTGTTGTTGTATTAAAATCAAAATGAGTTCGTTTCAATGATTTTAAAATAAACTCAAGACACCTAAATTTATAAATAAATAAATTCAGCACGCAGTAAATAATATGTTGCTCAGGTTCCTCCCACACGGTAACACGTGAGAAGCAGGTTCCCGAACTAGTTCATATAAAAAAGCCATACCTGCTCTTTCATACTCCCCCAAATCAGAAAAACATCTGGCAGCAGAATCTGCCTTGCCTATAGCTTCAAATATTTCAGCAGCTTCCCTGAGGATTGAATTGGCTTCTTCAGGATTTGAAATGCGCATACGATCAGCCATAGCTTTAAGGCCAGCAGCTTTAGACCTTCTTTCCCAGTAGGCGTCATGAGCTCTTTCAAAGCACATTGTGGCCATCTCATAATTGTGCTCCTGGTACAACTGTTGAGAAAAAAAAAAAAAAAAAAAAAGAAAGTAAAATGAAAGCTGCTCAAGTTTACATTACTAGAAATAATGTCCCAAAATACACGGGGAAGAGGAGGAGGAAAGTGGCTACTAATAATTGCAAGGTATATAAAAATGCAAATAATAAAAGCTAAAAAAAAGCAATAGAACAAATGTTAACTTTAGGTTCCATGTCATAACAAGCATATCTTTCGTTTCATTTAAAATGAAGCAAACCTTGATGCCCCGTGATCTCCACTCCTCTGGATTGCTTGCGACTTGCATTGCCTCTGCGAGCGAATCATCCAGCTGTCTAACTTGTACTAGATACTTCTTCTTCCAATAGTCAAACATGGGTTTGGCTAGTTCTGTGTTGTCGCAAATCCATAGCCTTTGCCTTGTACGTGTAACAGCGACATATAATTGCTTCAATTCAGAGCATAGGATGTTATGTTTGGACTCAGAAAATTTTGGAGACTTAGGTGCCGTGGAGCCGAACAAATCTTGCTCCTTCATGTACTCGTATATCAATCTCCACTGATTCTTTAGAGGGGAGGATTCAAAAAAGTTGTACAGTAATACATCCTACAAAAGGACAATGCGTTCCATAAATAGTTTTAGGTTGGAATAATGGTTGTGCATATATCTAGTAATTACATTTACACCAGTGATACAACAATAATTCTAGCATCAATGATCTCACAAGATTTGTTCCTTTGAAATCAATGCAGAAACAGAATGTTCTCTGATTAGATTTTAGTTAGAAAAGTCTCTCTCATTGTCAATAACTATAACATTATTTCATAAACAAAAAATACACCAGCAAAGTCATATTTACATTACCTGAAACTCAAGACCTTTGCATTCCAATATGGTTAGGAGAAGAGCTTGCTTCCCAACATGATCCGAAATTTCCTTCCGAGCATCATCATCTCTTACTAAAATCACTTGCTCTGCGCCAAAACCAACAATATCTCGACTCTTGTTTCCACTATTTCCAAATATCTTTATGATTGCATTTTCATTATCCCCGGACTCAAGCAAGACTGGAGCTTCTCCATATATCCAACTGGTTTCTGGTTTTAAAGGATCAATGGATTGAGGAAAGAAATGATAAAGAAGTTCAATAATGCTCTGTGACAACTTCAGAATACCAGCATGAGTACGGAAGTTTTGAGTCAAATGGAAAATATCAGAGATTCTTCCTTTGTCTTTTCTTTCTCCATCTTCACCCTGACATTCTAATACAAACTTCTTGTAGAATAGATGACGTATATCTTGGAACCTGAAATCAATTCCCCTTGCAATTGTTTGTGCAGTATCCCCAGAAAAAACAAAACCTTCTTCAACATTGCCGCATACATGTTTAAACAAAGCAATTTGACTCATTGTAAGATCTTGCACCTCATCAATATATACAAAATCCATCTGATCAGCTTCATATCTTTCATGTTTGAGCCGACAATGAAGATCGTTTACAAAATCAGCCAGATCAAAATCACCAGTTCCCATCTTCATCTTTTCGTAAACCTGAAATATATCATATATCCTTTCTCTTTGTTCCCTCGTTAAAGTGGACGAACGTCCCTCAGACAGCGAAACATATTCTTCACAACTTAGCCTAAGGTTGCTTGTTTCAATGGCTTGCAAGCCACCTTTAATGTGCGAAATTATCTCAGTGAAAACTCTAGAAGGATCAAGCTTCTTTGTTAACTTGGAATCAAAGTGAGGCCAATATGATATAACAAACTTCTCGTAGTGAACTTCTTTGGTCCTTAGGAATGTCTGAAGCCGGACTGATCTTGAGCTTTGCCTTTGACCATGAGAAAGCTTTTCCATATCAGGGAATCTTTCAAAATAGGATTTACTCAATGTTCCATCGAGCATCATTAAGAACTTGTGGAATGTTATGACAAGAGGGTAAGAATCGGGCATGATTTCAAAAAAGGAATCAGGGATGTGTCCTTCTTCATCATCTAAATCAGCTATATCAACCAAATTACTTTCATCTGGATGGCTTCCACCACAAGCAAAACTATGGCAAATAACAAAAACTAAATGAAGTCAGAATAGCACATCTTCTATGCACCGTAGCAAAATTGATAGAAGAATATGGTAATTGCATATCAAGTTTAAAAAATCTTTGAAGCAGAACAGTTGTGAACAATAACTAAATATAAGATTCCAAAAGTGCAAATAAAATTTTTATCTATTTTTTCTTGAAGCACATGTAACCTATGAAAATGACTAGTTATTCATACATCAAAATTTTAAACATTCTTCAGCTAAAAACAAAAAATGTGATTCTAAAAATAAAAATTAAAAAAAAAACCCAAAAGCATAAAATTATCGTAATAAAACTCAAGTGAAGATAAACTATTGAAACAACGCTCTAAGAGGGGAAAAATTATAAGGTAGACTTAAGTGAAAAATCTTGACATTTTAGCATATAACTAAAGAATATACCATGATTTTGATGGTTATGTTGTGTACCTTTTCAAGTGGGAAACATGTTGCTTGACAGCATTACATAACTTAGGACTAACTGTAACAAAAAGCTGACGTAAAACAATGGTCCTAGTCTCTTCTGAGCTATTCTTCTCCACACTGTTCTTCATATCATGTCCAATTACATTAGCATTAGCTCCATAAAATTCCTCCATAGCCAAGTGGTGCAATTGTTCTTTCTGAAATAACTTCTTAGTCAAAACGGTAGTTTTCCCAGTGCCTGACCGTCCCAGTATAAATGTGCTTTGGCGATAAAGGATGATCTCCATTTCTTCGTCATTCACTTCAAATGGGAGATCAATTTCACTTTCATCACGATTAGATAACAAGTGGTTGACTGCAGCATGGGACAAGGAGTAGAATTTCATCAGCAACAAACTCTCGCTGACCTTTGAGTTCTCAACAAAATTTCTACCATCAGAAGCAGTGCCAACTAAATCACTCCCAGCTTCATTACAGCTGAGATCCTTAAAGCGGATAACAGCCAAAGATGGTGGCCAACTCTTTGGATTTTCCAATTTTCTGGGCAACAAGGGAAAACAAAAGCAACAACTCGTTAGGATATCAGCAGCAAGAAATATATATGACAGTACCTATAATATACTTAAAAGGAAAAAACATACCCGTCAAAAGATTTTTCATTGCAGAGGTTGATGAAATCATCTGTATACTTCCCAAAAATACTGTCAAGGCGCTTTATCAATTTTGGGATCTCATCTGGGGGCAAGACATCCCAGATTTTCAACACTTGTATGTATTTTGAATCCTTTGTGATGTCTACAGTAGAAATTACAAACAGGCCTTCAACCTTAAATTTCATGATATCCAAAGAACTTCCACCAACTGAGTCAACAATCGGCCTCTTGGGCCTCCAACCATCAGAAAGCTTAAGTAGAAGGCTTAAAACTGACTTCTTTCTCCGGATTGACGTCAATTTTTTAAATGACTTGAGAAAGTTATCACTGAAAAGAACCTAAGAAATTGGTGCAGCAAGAGTGGAAAAAAAAATAGTAATAATCTCTGTCAGTATGTTATATAAACCAGACAACAAAATATAAGCATGATTTCAACAGTAGTTCAATAAAATAGCACTATTAGGAAGCTTAAGAGGAAATAGATGATATTGTGTTATATTCATTTTCCGTAAAGGGTAATAGAATACAGAAAACTATACCTTCCACTTAGAACTCTTGAAAAGTATACTATCAGCATTCAGCAAGTCATCAAATTGATCAAGTTCTTTCTTGACCTCTATTATAGCCTTTGCCAAATCTTTGTCATCATCAACATTGAAGAAACAGCCACGATTTTTTGCATCAACGACCAGAGCCCCCCAAACCGATTGACTACCAGAAAGGGTTCTTTCATTACCAAGTATCCACAGAGAATGCCTGCAGACAACAAAAGGGCCAGCAATTAGTTTCTATAATTAATTAAAATCAGGAAAGAACATACCCAACAAAGTTTACATACCTAGCTCTTGTGAGAGCAACATTAATTCTCTGAGGCCTTGATATGAATTCAAGTGAACCAACAATATGAGATCTTACAGTAGACATTATTATTATGTCTTCCTCTCCACCTTGAAACCCATCAACTGTCCTTACCTTCACTTGAAAGCCATCAATTTTCTCATACTTTTTCCCAAGTTTTTCCTGAATTGCAACTACTTGAGCAGAGTAGGGAGACACGACACCAACACTGAGTTCATGTTGTGACTCACGCCATGCTGTGAAAAGAACAAAATGAGACCAAAAAAAAAAGAAAAAGTTAGAAGTGAATTCGTGTTTTTCAAATTGGAGCAAACACGCTGAATACTTAACATACACTCATAAAATTTCAGACATTAATATACATGAATCGACACCATTAGAAAATTTAAGTAAAATCTTGAGCTGGAGTTTTGTACCTTTGTGGAGACTCTGTACTATTTTCAATACAATAGCAACCTCAACCCAATTTTTCCGACTATGTCCATCATCATCCTTTTCCTCGCTTCCACCAATAACATTCAAAAAAGAATAAGGACCAAACATTGGTCCTGACAAATAGCGCTTTTCATAGCTCTTTCTTTTAACTATAGGTGCATTCTGAATCTGGTTATGATAGAATTGTGAATTAGGGAACGAACTTATAGCCGGATGCATTCTGTATTGCATATTTAGCAGGCGCTTTGAATGATTTAGTGAGCTCAACCTCTCGAACAAACTTCTTCCAAAACCAGCTTCCCCAGAAATCTTTATTTTTTTTTTCCAGAAAACAAGTAGATATTAGATTAAATGACAAAAAACAAAAGAGCAAAAAGTAATCATGAAAGTAAATAATATAAATATAAGGAAAAGAAAAGGATCCACATACTTTGCTAGTAACAGTTGCTGGTAATTGGCATTCATCACCAACAAGAACTGCATGCTTTATACCTGGAAGTTGAAGAGGTATGGTTGACTCGCACTCTTTGAGCTGTGCAGCTTCATCAATAACCAAAATATTAAGCGGATCAATTTCCATTTGATGCAGCTTATAAGAACTAGACGTGGTGCAAAATATTAATGAAGCTCTTTGAAAACAGAACTTCATTATATTTTGTTCATCCCTAAAGTTTGGAAGGCCAATTTCTTTTAGGGAGCAATGAAGAGTTCTCAATACAGAAAGGCAAGCCTTTCTCATTAATAGTAAGGACGTTTCATCCACAGCTGAATAAGGACCTTCAGTTACTTCAGAACGAGAAAAAAGCTCTTCCAGCTCTTCAGAAACAACATTATCTCGAAACAATGATGACTCGAAACAATCAAGTAACCCCATGAGGGACATCATGTTCTGAAAGTTCTGTTCCAAAATGTAGCTTTTAGGTATGTGTGTACAGAAGATGGAAATGCAACTTCTAAGTGGTGTGACAGTACAAACAAATATCTTTCTCACATATTCAAGAAATGATTCGACTTTCTCCTCGCATCCCTCGTCTTTCATTTCACTTTCAGAGCTCAGTTCTCTCTCTTTGATCAACTCATTTTCCAGGAAAATATGGTACTTAGAAATGCAGTCTTCAAGAAAATGTATCATAGAAGTGAAGGAATGATTCCAACCAAGGGGTCCAAAGCACTCTACAAGCCTTTTGACTCGGTAATCCAAATATATCTCTTGTATATCTAACCCAACTTTAAGCCTATCCTTATTTCCAAACAGAAGAAATTCTCCCAGGGAAGAAAACAAGGTATCAGCCTCTGTATCTGACACAATCTTCAGGACACGAGAAGCCACTCCAGTTATCGCAACATTTGTTGGGGCGCAAACAACTGTTCTATACTTCATTCTCAAGAAGGCAACAAGGAGAGTAGCCGTGGTTTTCGTTTTTCCTGTCCCAGGCGGTCCCCATATAAGTTCAAAACTAGTTTTCTTCTTGCAGTGCAACATGTGAAGACACGAAAGAATTGCACCAGTCTGAGACCCATTCAGATTAGAAGATAATAACTCTACCAATTTCTCATCCAACGAGTCTTCACCAAGTTCAGAACATGAATTACAATTTTTCTGATCCTGTTAAACACACACAAAAATAAAAAAGTCAAGCATCAACAGTGACATCAAATTTGAAACATATTGGGCATCTTACTTCGAACAATATTAGTAGATCAACCGAGTTAAATGAATTTGAATGAAAATGGAAGTTTAATATCTTGTTGATCAGTTTGTTTTTAATTACTTCTAAGCTTTAAGATAGCATTTTCTCACGAGTATTCAACAACATATGTAAAATACTCAGCACAAACAAACAAAATGATAATACTCAGCACAAGTATTCAACAACAAACAAACAAACAAAATGATGTAAAACACTAAGCACATATGTAGTGAAGGGTGAGTTTTGATATAACATAAACATCTATCATCAATCTGTGACATATCTTGAATGCTTGAAACCTTACTTGCAAATGAAATCTTAACCGGGGGAAAAAAAAATTTGCAGTATTATTTATTTTACAAGCTTACCTCAGAATTAATGCATAAAGCATCATTCAGAATCATCTGATTGCTGGACATATCCAAGGCTTGCCATATTCTCCTCGGAGTCGTCATGTTGGCCACAAAAACAACAAAGAGCGATGTCTGCGTCTCAAACACAAGTTCAAAGGCCTTTGATGCCTTGACTTTGAAATAAGTAGAGCAAACATCATCCTCGTTTTCATCCTCCGTGATATTAGTGACTGATAAAAAGGTCCATGACCTGCCCATCCTATCCAAGTCGGACAACGTTTCTGGTTTAGCATTTGCTAGAACTAAGAGATCACCGGGCAAAGTTTTATAAGGCACTTTGCTACGATCATTGGATCTGTTCCTCCAGTAATCAACTGTAACTTGATATACTTTTGATCCGTAAGGCTTAGACTCGTCGAAAGCTACCACCTCAGCAAAAGGTGCACTATACAGGATCTCCATACTCGAGTACAACTCTGCTCGAGTTTCTTCCAATAAAGGGTAGACATAAGACCCCAAATAATGCTTAACAGATTGAAATGTTTCAGGAATCTTCTCAACCTAGAAAAGCAAAGGTAACTTAGTTCCAGAATATTATAAAGAGAGAGAAAAAAATTAATAGTCAAAACTAAATTTGCTTGTAGTTTAACAGTCCATACTCCTAATACTAGTGACTCCAAGTCACTTGCATGATGGTGTGGGATAAAACATGTTTCATGAGCTTTGAAAACTAGAAAGGAAAAGAAAAATCAAAATAAGGAAATTTGAAAGAGGAAAAATTTAACGGATTGAAATGATTCAGGAATTCTTTTATACCTAAAGAAATTAATGTTCAGAACATGAATAAAAAAGATTACAACTTGTAAGATGGATTAGCTGTAGAAGCTCAACTCGGAATGATAGATTGTTGGTTTTGCTGTTGCATGCAATAAAAACAACTGAAACTTGGTTTAAACTTTTAAACATCATGGTAAATGAGCTTTGAGAACACAATAAAATCACGATGAAAAGGAACTCAGAACGGGAGGTTTTACATTTCAATACAATAGGGGGGAGAAGCTAAAGTCTTTAGTATAATTTCTTCAAATATAACCGTCAAAAATGACTTCTCTGACATCAACTCTGTGTTTTTTTAGTATGTATCATCAATGAAAAGTTCATCATCTAAACAAATAACTTGCAATTATCGTGACAAAAGCTTTTATACGCACATTAATAATAATAGTGATTACTGCCAGTAAGTTGGCATGCATCAAACAACATATAAATACACACACACACATGCATATATATAAACATCAATATGATTCCTAAGAGTGATAAGCAGTTATATTGCATACGTGTGGATTCAAACACGTCCAATCAGAGGCATATTTATTTATTTTTTTAATTCAACGAGTGTGAAATAGATAAGTCAAGGAAAGAAGGCTTAGATCTTTCAGAGTCCTGTCCACGAATGACAAACATGTTTTTACTTCTTCAACATTTTCTATTTTGTTCTAAAAGAAATAATAAAAATGAAACATTGTCTATTTCGTTGGTTTACCATAAACAATTTGTGAAACCTCACAACTCTTTTCTTTTTCAAGAATCAGTTTAACTCTTAAATATGTATTACCTATAAATTCACACGTCTAAAATTTGTAAGAAGAATCTAAAAATTACAACTTGTTTACTCTTAAGTTAAAAAAGTTCCCAAAGGTTTCATTAGAAATTTCATACATATAAAAAATCTTCACCATGGCACAAACATGGAAATTAGTTATATACTAGGTGGGTCCGAGTTGCAAAGCTTTGAAAAAGCTGGACAATCATCCAACATAATACCAAGAAACTACACAAAGAGAAACATGAAAATGGGGGGGCGGGAGGGGAATTTACACCACAAACCCACTCTAAAAAAAAAAAAAAAAAAAATGAAAAAGTACAAAAATTTGTCTCATCCCAACTTCAATGAAACTAATGCATGCCAAGAGAAATGAGAACATGAAAGAAGGGAGTTATAAGCAAAAACCTTGTCTTTATAAAGATTTTCATTGGAAATGTCTTCCACTGACCAAGAAAACACAGTATCAGTGAAAGGATCAGTGGGATTTCTCTTTCTCTCTCTTGACGTTTCCCCTTGCATCATTTTTCTTTTACCAAGCTTTCACAACTATATCTCTACCACTTAAGTCCTCTTATATATCTGCATTGAAAGAGAGAGTAAATAAAATGGGTTTCTTAGCTACAAAGCAAAAAAAAAAAAAAAAAGCCACCCTACCAACATTGAGAAGCAAGTGTAAAAAGATTATTTGCAGTACAAAGCACTAACATGCATTCAAACAAAGATGTTTTGATCGGAATCCTTTCTTTTTCTTTTTTTTTTTTTTTTTTTTCTCGGAAAGGAAGAAGAGCATTCTGTTGTTGTTTTCAATCCAACGGTAGA